TGCCAGGAAATTCAGGGATTTGTGCTCAAGGAATTCCAAAGAATTCGGGGATTTTGTGCCCAAGGACTTCAGAGGAATTCATGGATTTGTGTTCAAGGAATTCTGGGATTGGTTCTCAAGGAATTCCGGGATTGGAGCAGAGGAATTCTGGGGATTGGCGCACAGAAAAGATTGGGGATGCGAAATTCCCATATTCCCCTGGAATTCTGGGGTGGGGACTTTGCAGGAATCAGTCAGGGATTTGGAGATGGGAAATTCCCAAATCCCCGGGAATCAGCTGGGGATTGTGGGATGGGGAATCTTGGAATTCCCAAGGCATTTTGGGCTGGGAATTCCCGGGAATCTTACACCATCTGCTCCAGGAGCTGCCGCAGGTGCTGGAAATCTGCCAGGTCCCCGGAGGCTCCGAGCACGGTGGAGTCGTTGACCTTGAGGAGCCGGGAGATGCCCCGGAACCGTGCCAGGGATCCGAAGGATCCCACCGTGTCCGCGGCCAGCATCACCCCACCGGAGAACTTCAGCCCCAGCACCGACGTCCCGGTCACCATCGGGCTCCTGGCACACCGAGATCGGGGTCACACCAGTGTGGGTCCCAATCACACCAGTCTTGGTCCCATTTACCCCAGTCTGGGTCCCAGTTACACCAATCTTGGTCTCAGTCACTCCAGTTTGGGTCCCAGTTTGTCCGTTCTGCGCCCCTGGAGTCTCCCCGGCATTCCCGGATTTTCTGCCCCTTCCCTTTCCCCGTCCCCAGTACCCCCCAGTTCTGCTCCCAGTTCGCCTCCCCAGCCCTCAGAGACACTCCCCAAATGCCCCCACTTCCGCTCCCCCTCCCCAAATTCCCTCAGTCTCCCCATTTTCCTGCCCCCTCACGGACTCCCCCCCCCCAGCCTCCCCAGTTCCCCCCCATTCCTCCCCCCATCCCCCCCGGGACCCCCCCCCATCCCCCTCAGCCCTTCCCGCGCCCCCGCTGCCCTCACAGCGTGCGGCCGGCGGGCAGTGCGGCGGGCCCGGTGCCGGTGCCCCGGGGGGCGATGTCGGTGTGTCCCAGAGCCCGGGGGATGTACGTTTGTCCCGGGGCCGGGCCCCCGGCCCAGAACGGCGGCGGCGCTGCCCCGACCTCCATCTTAGTCACGCCGCGATTGCGCCTGCGCTGAGGAAACGCGGCCTCTCCCCGCCGCCGTAGAGTGGGCGTGGCTTCGCCGCCATCTTGAGCGCGGCGAAAACACCAGCAGGTTCCCTCCTCAAGATGGCGGCACCACCACGTGACGCAGCACCGGTGCGGTGGTGGGCGGTGTTTGTCGTGCGGGGCCGTGCCCATTGGGCGGGGTTTGTGGTTGCGCCGGCCAATCAGTGGCGAGGGGCGGGACCTGAGCGAAGGTAACAGGTTGCGGTGGCTGCGGCGGGAGCGGGCGGTGAGTGGCGGGGGGGGGCGGGGAGGGACCACCGGGAAACGGGGCCTGGGGACGCCGGACCCGGGCCGGGGACACCGGGCAGGGGCTGGGGACACCGGACACGGCCTGGTGACACCGGACAGGGCTGTGGGAACATCGCAGAGGGATCTCGGGACATCGCACAGGGGCTGGGGACACCGGACAGGGGTGTGGGGACACCGGACAGGGGCCGGTGGCACGGGAAGGGGTCCTGCCCCCTGGGCGGGGGCCTTGGTGACACCGGACAGGGCGCTGGGGGCACCCGGCAGGGCGCTGGTGGCACGAGAGGGGGGGGCTGGTGGCACGGGACAGGGCACCGGTGACACCGGAGAGGGCGCTGGTGGCACCGGACAGGGTCTTGTCCCACCGGGCAGGGCGCCGGTGACACCGGAGGAGGTGCCGGTGACACCGGAGGAGGCGCCGGTGACACCGGAGACGCTCGTGGAGGCACGGGAGAGGGCACTGGTGGCACCGGGAGGAGACCTGGGGACGCGCAGAGGGCGTTGGTGGCACGGGACAGGGTCCGGGTGACACTGGAGGGGGTTCGGGTGACACGCAGAGGGGCCTGGGGACGTGGGACAGGGTCCCGCCGTCCCTTTATGGGGTCCTGTCCTCAAGGAAGGGGTCCTGGTGTCCTTTAATGGGGTCCTGCCCTATGGAAAGGGGTCCCAGTGTCCCTTTTTGGGGTCCCATTGTCCCTTTTTGAGGTCCCAGTGTCCCTTTATGGGGTCCTGCTGTCCCTTTGTAGGGTCTCAGTGTCCCTCTATGGGGTCTCAGTGTCCCTCTATGGGGTCCCAGTGTCCCTTTTTGGGGTCCTGTCCTGTGGAATCCCCTCAGAAAACCCTTCCCGACCTTTCAGGGCAGCGCAACTTCCGCCTTTTATCCCTTCAATATTTTGGGAAAAATCCAGGGGGATTTTTAGAGCCTCTCCCCAAATCCAGAGGATCCCCAGTCCAAGGGATCCCAAATCCAGGGGTTTTGTTCCTTTTTGTTCCCGGTTTTTGGGATCGCTCCGGGCATTCCCAGACTGGTCAGACCGGTTTGGGATCATCAGAATTCCCTTTCCCTGGGCAGGATTTGGGGTTTCACCTTTTCCCTGCGGCTTTTTGGGGCCAGGGAGGGAATTCCCGGGGGGAACGTGTGGGATTGAACTCGGGGCGAATTCCTCGGGGCAGGAATTTCGGGGTGAAATCTGGGATGGAACTCAGGGCAAGCCCAGAGTGACCCCAAACCCCGCAGGGATTTTGGTGTCCAGGTAATGGGATCGTTCCCGGTTATCCCAAAGGAATGGGATCGTTCCCGGTTATCCCAAAGGAATGGGATCATTCCTGGTTATTCTGAGGGTATGGGATCATTCCTGGTTATCCCAAAGGAATGGGATCATTCCTGGTTATCCCAAAGGAATGGGATCATTCCCTGTTATTCCGAGGGTATGGGATCATTCCTGGTTATCCCAAAGGAATGGGATCATTCCTGGCTATCCCAAAGGAATGGGATCATTCCTGGTTATTCTGAGGGTATGGGATCTTTCCTGGTTATTCTGAGGAATGGGATCATTCCTGGCTATCCCAAAGGAATGGGATCGTTCCTGGTTATCCTGAGGAATGGGATCATTCCCAGTTGCCCCAAAGGAATGGGATCATTCCCTGTTATTCCGAGGGGATGGGATCATTCTCGGTTATCCCAAAGGAACGAGATCATTCCCGGTTGCCCCAAAGGAATGGGATCATTCCCAGTTCCCAGTTATCCTGGGGAACACGATCATTCCCGGTTATCCCAAAGGAACGGAATCATTCCCGGTTATCCTGAGGCTTTTCCGCTTTTCTGTGCTCGGGAATTTTATCCCGCGGGCTCTGGTTCCAAGGGTTCGATTTCCCTGGAAACCGACACCTGATCCCACGCTGGGAGCGGGGTCGGGATTGCCCCGGGCGCGGCCGGGATGGGATTTCCCAGGATTTGGGGTCGATGGTTCCCAGGATTTGGGGTCGATGGTTGACCTGGGAGCTCTGCCCAAGGCTGGGCTGGAATTCCTGGAATTCAGCTCCGCAGGGAGCCCCGGGAGCAGCTCCTGGGGAATGATCCCAATCCTGAACATTCCCGATCCCAAATGTCCCGATCCCAAATGGAAAGCCCTCTCCCAGTCCCTCTCCTTTTCCCAGGGGAAAGATCCCATTCCCGACCCTTTTTTCGGGTGAAAATTCCCATTTTTCCAGCTGTAATTCCCTCTCCCCCTTCGATCTCCGCCCCTGCCCGGTTTCGGGTTCCCAGGAAAACGGGAAAAACTGGAAAATCCGGAAAAGCCGCTCCCGGTTTTTGGGCGCGGCTCCAAATTCCCGGACTTTGGCCCCAAACAACGCCCGGGGGAGGAGCCGAGGGTGGAATTTTGGGAGAGATCAAAAAAAAATCCCCCTGGAGGCAAAAAAAAAATGGAATGGTTTGGGATAATTAATTTGAGATGGTTTGGGATAATTTTGGATAATTAATTTGGAATAATTTGGGATAATTTGAGATAATTTATGATCATTTAGGATCATTTGAGATAATTCATTTGGGATCATTTGGGATAATTCAGGAATTCTTTAGGATTATTTGGAACTCGATTTGGGCCCCAGGGACTCGGGAATGGGGCAGAATTTTGGGAAAACCTCACTGGGACCATTCTAAGTATTGGGAAGATCCCAAACCAGCAATTTTGGGAATATTTTGGGAAAATTTGGGATTTTTTTTTCCTTCCTTTCCCACCCTTGAGCAGCTGGATTTTTCCCTCCCATTCTCCATTCTCAAAATCCCAAATTCCCTTTTCCTCTTTCAGGAAGAGGGAAAAAAAAAAAAAAGGGAAAAAAATCCTGGAGAAGGAACTCCAGTTTCATTTTTTTTCCCCAGATTTTCTGGCCACTCTGGGAATTACAAAACGGCTTTTTCTGGGTCGGAGCCACAAAGGCTCTTTGTGCTTCCCTGGATCCTGGCCAGCCAGAAAATTCCCAAAATTCCACCCTTCCAAAGGGGCCGGGATGGCCCCTCCTGATTTTTCCCGACCCCATTCCCAGGGAAAATTCCCATTTTGGGGTTTTTTTTAGGCCCTAAATTCCCTTTTCTGCTTTTTTTCCCTCTGGTTTTCCAGGAAAATCCCCAAAATTCTGGTTTTTCTCAGCCCCAAAATTTGCATTTTACTGCTTTTTCCCCATTTTTTCAGGCCCAAAATTCCCTTTTCCTGTTTTTTTTTCCCTTCCAGTTTCCCAGGGAAACCCCAGAAATCCTGGGAGAGCAAAGGAGCAATTCCCGTCCCAGATTTCCTCATTTCGGGAATATCCGATCCTCTCCCGAATTTCTGGAAAATCCAAATCCTCTCCCAGTTTTCCGACCCTCTCCCGTTCCCGGTTTTTCCGGAGCCATCTGGGAACATTCCCAACCCCCTCCCCCCCATGGATTCTCCACCTGCTCCAGGATGGAGCTGGGATGGATTCGGGAATTTGGGATGGATCCCAGGGCTGGGGATGGATCCTGGGATCTGGGAAGGATCCAAGGGTTCGTGGTGGATCCCAGCCCTTCCCGGTTATCCTGACCCCTCCTGGCCTTTCCAAAGGTCTTCCCTGGATCCCGGAATTCCCATCGGGATCGCTCCCGGCCCCGCCCCGGCCCCGCCCCCGCTGCCCTTTGGCCACCTGGAAAAATTCCCGATTTTCCGCCGGCGCTGCTCCCTGCTCAGGTCGGTGCCTGGATTTCCTGGATTTCCTGGATCCCGGGGATTTGGGGATTTGGGGATTCCACTCCCGGGATCCTTCCCCTGAAATTCCAGGGATTTTGAGATTCCTGGGATTTGTGGTGATTCCAAAGGGATTCGGGGATTCAGGAATTTAGGGATTCGGGAATTTGGGGATTTAGGGATTCGGGAATTCCGCTCCCAGGATCCTTCCCCGGCCATTTCAGGGATTTGTGGGGATTCCGGAGGGGCAGCAGGATTTGGCCCGGGATCCTTTTCCCCACTCCCATCCCACGCTCAGCTCAATCCCTTTGGGATTTTTTTTTGGGGATTTTGGGATTCTCCTGACACTTCAGACCCATCCTGGCATCCCAAAATCCCCAATATCCCAACAAACATCCCCAAATCCTTAACAAACATGCCCAAATCCCAACAAACATCCCCAAATCCCCTTCCCCCTCTCATTCCGCAGCTCCTCGCGTCATTCCCGCGAAGAAAAAAAAAAAAAACAACCGGGATTTGGGGTAGAATCGCGGCTTTTCCAACCCGAAATTTCCGATTTTTTCCCAGCCGCGGCTGCTCCCGGGAAAAAATCCCGGGATTTGGGGCCGATTCGGGGCGGGCTCGCGGCTTCTCCGTCCCAAAATTCCCGATTTTTTTTTCCCGGGGCTTCCAGAGGATTTCTGGGATCGAGGGCGGGGGGAGGTTCCGTCCTCGCGCTGTTCCCAAAATGTCACCGCTCGTCCGAAAAACCGGGAAAAAACTGGGAAAACACCCGGGAACACCAGGGGAATCGGGAAAAAAGGGGGGAGGGAAAGGGGAAGACAAGTGAAAAAAGGGGGAAAATGGGGAACGCCGGGGAAAAAAATAGGGAAATCGGAGAAAAAACAGGAAAAAACGGGGAGAAAAAGGGGGAAAGCGGGTAAAAAATGGGAAAGGCCGAGAAACTGGGAAAAAATGGGGGGAAAGAGGGAGACCTGAAATAGAATGTGGAAAACTGGGAAAACCGGGGGGAAAAAGCGGGAAAAAAGAGGAAAAGCAGGGGAGAAACCTCGATAAAATGGGGAAAAAACCGTGATAAAATGAGGGAAAACCCGCAAAAAACGGGGGTGAAAAAGATGAAAACCGGGGAAAGAACCACACAAAACGGGGGGGGGGAAATGGGAAAAAACGCAAAAAATGGGGGGAAAAGGGGGAAACTGGGGGGGAAAAACGCAAAAAAAACGGGTGGGGGGGGAGGGAAACGGGGAAACCGGGGGGAAAATGGGGGAAAAATGCCAAAAACCGGGGAAAACCGAGGGAAACCCATTTTTCCCCCCCTAAGGAGCCCGAACTCGGCCCGGCTCCATGGCGGAGCAGCCGCTGGACCACGGCGTCCAGATCCGCTTCATCAGCGACCTGCGGGAGCCGCGGCGCCCCCCGCGCTCCTCCCGCGGCCGCGGCGGCTCCTACGGCGTGGCCGTGCGCGTCCAGGGCATCGCCGGGCAGCCCTTCGTGGTGCTCAACAGCGGCCAGCGCGGCCGAGACAGCTTCGGCGTGCAGATCCGAGGGGGACACCCCGAGCCCCCCCCGAGCGCCCCCAAAACCCGGCCCCACAGCGGCTCCGAGGAGGAGGAGGAGGAGGAGGCGGGGGGCGCCGAGGGGCAGATTTGGGATGGGGCGGCGCGCGGGGGGCGCGGGTTTTCGGAGCAGGAGGATTCAGGGGGATCTCGGGGGGGTCCCAAAAGTTTTGGAGAAGGAGTTGGGGGGAGTTCAGGGCGTCCCAAGATTTTCAGAGCAGGAAGGTTCAGGGGGGTCGCGGGGGGTCCCCAAATCCTGGGATGAGGAACTGAGGAAGGTCCCCAAATCCTCGGATCAGGAAATTTCGGGCAGATCCAGGGGGGTCCCCAAATCTTGGGATGAAGAAACTTCGGGGCGGCCTGGGGGGATCCCAAAATTCTCAGATCAGGACCCGGGAGGATCCCGGGGTGCCCCAAAATCCTCGGATCAGCACCTGAAAATCGCCAAACCCGCGGAGGAGCTGCGCCGATCCCAATCGCACGGGGACCTCAGCGCGCCTTTTCCCAAGAGCGGGGAAAAGCCGGGAAAAAGGGATGCGGAAATTCCCAAAATTCCTGGGGATGTGGACACGGAGCCGCTGCGCTCCGTGGATTCCTTGATCACCAAATTCGACGGGAATTTGCCCCGCGGGCGAGCGGCGCGGAGGTTCCGCGGCCCCGGCGCGGCTCCGAGGAAGCGCTCGCAGAGTTTGGATGCGCGGAATTCCCGGGAATCTGCCGCGGTCCCGCCCCAAATTCCCCAAATTCCCGGCGGGTTTGGGGGCGTGGAGGAGCAGAGCGTGGAGATGCAGGTATCTGGGGGGGGGAATTCCTCAAAAAATGGGGATTTTTTTTCCTAAAAAATGGGGGCTTTACATGAAAATTGGGGTTTTTCCTAAATTTTTTTTTCCCCTATAAAATTTAAGGAGTTTTCCCATTAAATTTGTGGGGTTTTCCGATGAAACTAGGGAGTTTTACCTATAAAATTGGGAGCTTTTTCCCCATTAAATTTGGGTTATTTTCCTATGAAATTGTGGTTTTCCCCTATAAAATAATGGGTTATTTTCTTATGAAATTGTGGTTTTCCTCTATGAAATAATGGGTTTTTTTCCTATAAAATTTGGGGTTTTTTCCCCCTCTGGAATGCGGGATTTGGGGTTTTTTGTTGGAATTGAGGGTTTTTGTTCCCTGCTGAAGCTGAAATCCACCCCGGACCTGCTGCGGGACCAGCGGGAATTGGGGGGCGGCGAAAACCCCACCGAGCTCATCTACAGCATCCTAAAGGAGGGGTGAGCCCCCAAAACATCCCAAAAATAGCCTCAAAAGGCCCCCAAATCCCCCCGAATTTCCCCCAAATGCCACAAAATCCCCTCGAAACCTCCCTAAAATTCACCGAAATCCCCCGAAAGTGCCCTAAAATTCCCACTCCATGACCGCAATTCCCCCAGATTTGGGATTTGGGGGAATCCAGCAGCAATTCCTGCCCTTCCCTTTTCCCATGACCCCGTTCCCAATTATTTTCCCCCAAAATCCGACCCCAAATCCAGGAGCTCCGAGAGCGAAATTTCCCTGAAAAGGAAAACCTCGAGGCTGCTGGGAAAATTCCAGGAGCTGGCAGTGAGTGGGAAAACTCCAGGGGTTTGGGGTTTGGGATTTGGAGTTTGGGATGGGTTTGGGGTTTGGGATGGATTTGGGGTTTGGGATGGATTTGGGGTTTGGGCTGGATTTGGGATGGGTTTGGGTTTTGGGATTTGGGATTTAGGATTTAAGATTTAGGATTTGCGGTGGCTTTGAGATTGGGGATGGGTTTGGGTTTGGGATGGGTTTGGGATGGGTTTGGGGTTTGGGATTTGGGAGGGATTTGGGATGGATTTGGGATGGGTTTGGGTTTGGGATGGATTTGGGATGGGTTTGGGTTTTGGGATTTGGGATTTAGGATTTAAGATTTAGGATTTGCGGTGGCTTTGAGATTGGGGATGGGTTTGGGTTTGGGATGGGTTTGGGATGGGTTTGGGGTTTGGGATTTGGGAGGGATTTGGGATGGATTTGGGATGGGTTTGGGTTTGGGATGGATTTGGGATGGGTTTGGGTTTTGGGATTTGGGATTTAGGATTTAGATTTAGGATTTGCGGTGGCTTTGAGATGGGGGATGGGTTTGGGATTTGGGAGGGATTTGGGATGGATTTGGGATGGGTTTGGGATTTGGGATGGATTTGGGATTTTAGGACGGGATGTCCCCAGCATCCCAAATGTTTCCATATGTCCCAGAGTTCCATGGTGGCTCCGGACTCACCGCAATCCCAAATCCTGCGGGAGGCCCTGGACAGGAAATCCCAGGAGCTGCAGCGGAGCCAGGCCCAGTAATGGGGTCACCGGTGGGGGGATGGGTTTGGGGTCACCCCATTGTCCCTTTGGGGTCACCCCCAGGGATTTGGAATCCCCTGAAGGGTTGGGGGCAGGTTTGGTGTGGCCCTTTGGAGTTTGGGGTCACCCCTGGTGTCCCTTTGGGGTTTGAGGTCCCCCAAAGGGTCGGGGGCAGTCTTGGGTGGCACTTTGGGGTTTGAGGTCACTGTGGGTCCCCCTTTGTCCCTTTCGGGGTTTGGGGCCCAAAGACCCTTTCAAGACCCTCTAGACCTCCCTTAATCCCCCCCAAACACCCCCAAACCTCCCCTAATTCCACCTAACCCCCCCGAATCCCCTCTGAACCCCAAAAAAACCCAGGAACCGTTTATTCCCCCCAGAAAACCCCAATAAGCCTCGATTTCCCCCATTAACTCCTGATTTGCCCCGTTAACTCTTCATTGCCCAGGCTGAGCGAGCTGAGAGCCGCCAAGGAGGCGCTGGAGGCACGGCTGGGCCACCTCGAGGGGCAGCTGCTGGCCACCGACCCCAAAAGTGACCCCGACACACAGGACCTCTACCAGGTACCTCTAAAAACATCAAAAATGGGGAAAATTAAAAAAAAAAAAAAACCACAAAAAAAAAAGCTCTAAAAACCTCAAAATGAGAAAAATCCCAGTAAGAACCACACAAAAAAACCCCAAAAACCACCAAAAAAACCCCAAATCCCAAATTTCCCGTTCCCAGGATGTTCTGGGGTTTCCCCATGTCCCAGATCCCGGTTTTCCCATTGCCAGGAGCTGCAGGAGTGCCGGGAGCAGCTGCAGGAGGTTTTGGGGTCGCGGCGGCGCCAGGAGCGGGAGCTGCAGGCGCTCAAGGGGGCCCTGAAGGCCGAGGTGGCCACGCACGATTCTGACCTGGAGCGGCTCCGGGGGGAGATGGAGGCGATCCGGGCGGAGATGGAGCGGGTCTCGGAGGTGGGAATTCGGGACAGGAATTTGGGGTGGGAATTTGGGATTGGAATTTGGGATGGCGCTGGGAATCCCAGGCTTTTCCCCATATTCTAAACCTCTAGAATGGGGGAAAAAAACGGGAAAAAAAAAAAATCCCCAGTGGAACATGGGAAAAACTGGGGAAAATCCCTCTGGAATTTCCACAGACTCAGCGCCGATTCCATGGATATTTTGGCTCGAATTCACGGGGAATTTTTTTTTTTTTTTCCTGGGGGAATCTTGTCAATTCCTTGCAGGAGAAATCCAGCCTGGAGCAGGAACGGGAAAATTTGGGAATGCAGCTCCGGAATCTGCGGCGGGAGCTGGAGGAGAGCGCGGAGGAGACGGAGCAGTGGCGGGAAATGTTCCAGAAAAACAAGGAAGAGCTCCGGAATTCCAAGCAGGAGTGAGTCCCAGAGCTGGGGGTGATCTGAAATCTGGGATTTTCTGGGATTTTCTGAGAATTTCCAGGATTTTCATGATTTTCCACTCCAAATCCCAACAAAACAGGGTCGGGGATTTTGGGATGGAGGGAATGTTGGAATGTTGGGATTTTCCAGGCTGCTGCAGGTGCGGCTGGAGCGAGAGGAGTTGGAGGAGGAACTCCGGGAGCTCCAGGAGCGATTCCAGGCGGCGCGGGAGGATCGGGATCGAGCCCGGAGCGACCCCCAGGAGATGGAAAAGCTCCGGAAGGTGCAAGAAATCCGGGAAGTTTTATCCCAAAATTCAGGATTTCCCCCCCAGATTTGTGACTTTTTTTGTGTTAAATTTGGGATTTTTTTCCCCCCAGTATTTGGGATTTTTCCCCAAAAATCCATTTTTTTTCCCCTAAAACTTGGGATTTTTCTCAGGAGCTGGAGCAGGCCCGGAAGGATCTGGAAAAGCTCCGGGGGGAGCGGGACGAGGCTGCTCAGGTAAGGGGGGGAAATCCCAAAAATTGGAAATTTTTTGGAAATTTTTGGGACTTCTTTGGAATTTGGGGTCCAGATTTTCTCATTGTGGGCTCAGCCAAAGTTGTCCCAAAAAATTAAAAAGAATTCCTACAAAATCCCCCCCAAAAGCCTTTAAATTAAAAAAAATTCCTCAAGAATCCCCCAAAATCCCCCTTGGATGCCCCAAGGCCCAGATTTCCCTGGAATCAGCGCTGGAGGCATCGGTGGAGGCGCGGAAAGTTCTGGAATCGCGGCTGGAGGAATCCCAGGAACAGCGGGAAAACTGGGAAAGGCTCCGGGAGAAAGTGGCCGAACTGGAGGTGCTGGGGATTCCCAAAAACCCAAAGAAAAATCCCAAAAAATCACAAAAAATCCCCCCAAAACCCAAAAAAACCCCCCCCAAAAATCCCCCAAAAATCCCCAAAAAACCCAAATCGTCCCCAAATCCCCCAAAACGCGCCGGGGTCTGCGGCAGGCGGAGCGCGCGGCGCTGGCCGAGTCGCTGGGATCCGGTGCGGAGCGGGAGCGGGATTTGGTGTCGCGCCTGGAGCGCTCCCAGCGGGAGCTGCGGGATTTGGGATCGGCCCTGAGCGAGGAGCGGCTCCGGCGGGATCGGCTCAGCCAGGAGGTGCGGGAATTCCCAGAACTCCAGCGGCTTTCGTGGGATTTTGGGGGGTTTTGTGAATTATCGGGGTTCTTTTGGAGGGGTTCTTTCCTGGACTTGTGAGGTTTCCTTGCGGGATTTGGGATCGGCTCCGGTGGGATCGGCTCAGCCAGGAGGTGTGCGGAAAGATTCCAGGGATTTTCATGGAATTTCGGGGGTTTTTCACTGAATTTCAGAGGTTTTTTGGTGGCATTTTGGGGTGGGGTTTGTTTGGGGAATCTGGGGGGAGTTTGTTTTTTTTTTTTTCATTGAATTCCATTTTTTCCATGGAATTTTCAGCTTTTTTCATGGAATGCTGGGATTTCCACCCCCCCAAAATTTCCACCCAGATCCCAGTTTTGGCACCATCCCACAAAATTCCCAATCCCAAAATTTCTGTTTTCCAGCTGGAGCAGATGACGGCGGAATCCCAGAGCTCCCTGGCCTCGCTCCGATCCCAGCTGGAAGAATTCCAGGAAAAATCCCGTCGGGAACTCACAGATTCCCAAAAAATCGCCCAAGACCGCGAGGCTGAGGCAGAAAAATTCCAACAGAACCTCGGGAAGCTCCAGGACGAGGTTTGTTGGGAATCGGAGCTGAGTTTTCCAGGAATTCTGCGGATTTTTTGGGAAAATCCGTCCGGGAGTTTGAGGAATGTTGGGGTTTTCCCGGCAGGTTTCCCGGCTGAAGGAGACAATCCAGGAAAACCGGGAAGAGCGGGATCGGATCCTGCTGGACAAGGAGCTCCTGCTGCAGAGGCTCCAGGAGCTGGAGCAGGACCTGGAAAATCGGAAGCGATCCCAGGAAGAGCGAGCTCGGCATTCCAAGGCGCTGGAGGTGGGGATTCCTGAAAAAAAAAAAAAAAAAAAAAATCCCGGAAAATTATCCAAGAAATGGAAAAAAATTTCCAATATCACTCCCAGAAAATTCCTCCTAAAAAATAATGGAAAAATTCCTAAAGAATTCCCAGAAGATTCCCAGAAATTTCCCCAAAAATTCCTCCAAAAATTTTTCCAAAATTCCCAGAAAATTCCCTAGAAATTCCATCCCAAATTCCCATCAGGAAAAATCCAAACGTCTGGAATTGGAGCTGGACGAGGAGCGGAGCTCGGTGGAGCTGCTGAGCGAGAGGGTGACCCGGAGCCGGGATCAGGTAAAATCCAGGGAATTTTGGGAATTCTCATCTTGGCAAAAATCGAATTCTCCCGGAATTCCAACCCCCGCCCCCGCCTTCAAGGACCCATCTGAAAATTCCAGCTGGGAATTGTTGGGGCGGGAATGGGGATGGCATTTAAAGAGGTTGGGAAAAGGGATAAAGATTCCCAAAGGAATTCCCAATTTTTGATGTTTGGGTGGGAATTTGGGGATTAAATCCCAATGGATTCTGGGCTTTTCCCAAACTTTATTCCCTCCTTTTTCCGCAAAAATTCCAAGGCATAAATGGGGCATAAAATGGGAATTTTTTCCAATTTTTTCCCATTTTTCCAGCTGGGAATAATCCTAGGGATCCTTTTCCCACTATTCCTGGAGAATCCCAGCGCATCTGCTGATCCCATTCCTGAAATCCATGGGAAAATACATGGAACATCCTGGAAATTTGTGGATTTTCCCGGTTTTATTCCCAGATCGAGCAGCTGCGGGCAGAGCTGCTCCAGGAACGTTCGAGCCGCCAGGACCTGGAATGTGACAAATCCTCCCTGGAGCGCCAGGTGCGGGAAATCCCTGGAAAATCCTGGGAAAATTCCCAGGAAAATCCTGGAAGAATCCCAGGAAAAATCCCGGGATCCAGCCTCGAATCCTAGTGGGAAAGGCCATGGGGGAACCCAGATTCCATGAGGAATTCTGGGAAAAGGATCCTTGGGAATGGGGTCATGATTCCAAAGAGTTTTCCCAGTTTTTTCCTGCTTTTTCCCTGCTTTTTCTGGGTTTTTTTTTCTGTTTTTTTCCTGTTTTCTCCAGCTTTTCCTGCTTTTCCTTTTATTCCCAGTCCCAACTTCTGGGGTTCTCTGCCCTCTCCCAGGGTGTTTTTCCTGCAGTATTCCAACAAAATTCCCACTTTTCCTGTGCAGAATTCCCACTTTTCCTCACAGACAAGTCCCAGAGTTCCCACTTTTCCCCACCTTCCCGACTCCTGGAATCCTGCAAAGAATTCCTGGAATTCCTCCCCATTGGGAAACTTGGCAAAACCGGGAAGAGCCCTGGGATCAGGGGGATTTTTGGGAATTTTTCCCAGAACAAGGAGCTGAAGAACCGGTTGGCCGCTTCCGAGGGGCAGCAGCGACCCGGGAGCAGCCGGAATTCCCAGCTGGAATCGCAGCTGGAAGAGCTCCGGGAGCAGCTCCAGGCCGAGGAGAGGTGCCCGATCCCAAATCCCAAATTTTTCCAATCCCAATTCCCACATTTTCCATAATCCCAAATCCCATTTCCCAATTCCCAATTCCCAAATTTTTCCATAATCCCAAATCCCAATTCCTAAATTTTTCCATAACCCCAAATCCCTTAAAAATCTCCCCAAAAAATCCTTGAAAATTCCTTGCCAGTTCCTGAGAATTGCTTAAAAATTCCTTAAAAATCCCTTAACATCCCTGGAATTCCTTAAAATTCCGTAAAGATTCGTCAAATCCCACTCCCAGGACGCTCCAAAGGGTGGGGAATCCATGGAATTCCCATTTTTCCACAGGGAGAAGAGCGTCCTGCTCTCGTCCAACCGGAAGCTGGAGCGGAAAATCAAGGAATTGTCGCTGCAGCTGGACGAGGAGCGGCAGAGCAGCAGCAACCAAAGGGACCAGGTGGGGCTGGAATTCCTGGAATTCCATGGAAAAACCTGGGCTAGGATCCAGGATTTATCCCGAAAATCCCATCTGAGCCATGACAGGGAACCCTGAAATGGTTTGGGCTGGTAAAGATCCCAAAGATCCTTAAAAATTCCATAAAAATCTGAGGCCAGTGACATTCCCACCATCTCAGGGGTGGGGAATCCATGGAAAAAATGGAGCTTGGATCCTGAAAATCCCTAAAATCCCAGCCAAGGAATTCCTGGAGTGATTTGGGATGGAAAAAAAACCCCAAAATCCTTAAAAATTCCTTTAAAATCCCTAAAAAAAGCTCTAAAATCCTTAAAATTCCAAGGCCAGGGCCAGGCCTGGGCACCTCAGGATTCTCCCATAATTCCCAAATCCCAAATCTGACCCTGTATCCCGGGAATTCCCAGCTGAGCCTGCGCGTGAAGGCCCTGAAGCGCCAGGTGGACGAATCCGAGGAGGAAATCGAGCGCTTGGAAAACGCCCGGAAAAAATCCCAGCGGGAGCTGGAGGAGCAGCAGGAGCTCAACGAGCAGCTCCAGCGGCGCCTGAAATCCATGGAAAAGGAGGCCTGGTAAGGAATTCCCAGCTGGAAAATTCCAGAATCCATGGGAAAGGTCCCTAAACCCACGGAAAGGTCTGAAGCCCATGGGAAAACCCTGAATCCCAAGGAAAAAGCCCTAAATTCATGGGAAAGGATCTAAATCCATGGAAAAGGAGGCCTGGTAAGGGAATTCTGGTTTGGAAAAGGCCGGGAATTCCATGGCAGAGGCCGGGAATTCCATGGGAGAGGCCGGGAATTCCATGGGAGAGGCTGGGAATTCCATGGGAGAGGCCGGGAATTCCATGGGAGAGGCTGGGAATTCCATGGGAGAGGCCGGGAATTCCATGGAAAAGGCCGGGAATTCCATGGGAGAGGCCGGGAATTCCATGGCAGAGGCCGGGAATTCCATGGGAGAGGCCGGGAATTCCATGGAAAAGGCTGGGAATTCCATGGGAGAGGCTGGGAATTCCATGGAAAAGGCCGGGAATTCCATGGGAGAGGCTGGGAATTCCATGGAAAAGGCCGGGAATTCTCACCCGCAGGCGCCGCGCCGTGGACTCAGCGCTGCAAGACGAGCGGCTGAGCTCGGATGAGGAATTCGGCTCCGCAGCCATCGCCTCCCTCCTGAGCGAGGCCAACCTGCAGGCCAGCTCCTGCTGAGGCTGGGAGGGAACGTTGGGAATGCCGGGAATGCCGGAGTCATCGTCATCATCATCATCATCGTCATCATCATCATCGAGGCCGGGACCGGTTCCGGGCTCATCCCTGGGACAGCCCCCTCCTGCTGATTCCTGGGAATTCCAGAGCTGGGATTGAGTCCGGGATCAGCCCTGAGGTCAGCCCTGGAATTCCGGCCAGGATCAGCCCTGGGCTGCGGCTGCTCCATAGGAAAAAATTCCCAAAGCGAGGACATGAAGGAAAAACAGCCGGGACCCCTGTGGGAATCCTGGGATTTCCAAGGATTTCCCAGAATTTCCGGGTATTTTTAGGGATTTCCCATCTCCTGAGGACACTTTGGGGGAACCCTGGGATTTCCCCATTCCAGGAATTTTTGTTCCCACTCGCTCCTGAAGATGTTTGGAATAAAATCCAGCAGTTTAAGGGCAGCAGGGTCTGAAATTTTTGGGAATTCTGGATGGGAATTCTAGGTAGGAATGTTCATGAATTTTCAGGAACTCTGGGTGGGAAATTCTTGGAAATTTTGGGGAATTCTGGGTGGTATTTGTGAATTCTGGGTGGGAATTCTTAGGAATTCTCAGGTGCCACCTCTGTCCCCCGATGTCCCCCGGTGTCCCTGTGCCACCACCCCCGCAGGGCCGTGCCCGGGGCCCGCCCCGCGCCCGCACAGGTGACACCGGGATGTCCCCTGGAGCCACCGCTGTCCCCTGCGGCCACCTCCGGCCGTGTCCCCTGCCGCCCCGGAAGGGCCCCGCCCGCTGTCCCCCCAGGTGCCACCGCTGTCCCACCCCGGAAGGGCCGTGCCCACGCGGGTGGCACCGGCGTGTCCCCAGCAGGTGCCACTCCTGTCCCCTGCGGTCACCGTGTGGTCACCGCCCAGGGAGGTGCCACCGCTGCCACCCCTGTCCCCCTGTGTCCCCTCGTGTCCCCTGCAGGTGCCACCTCTGGTATCCCCTGTGGCCACCACGTGGGGAGGGCCGTGCCAGCCCCTGCAGGTGCCACCGCTGTCCCCCTGCTGTCCCCCGGTGTCCCCACCCCGGAAGGGCCGTGCCCGGTGCCCTCGGAGGTGCCCCCGGACCGGCCCGACCGGTCCCGCGCTGTCCCCACCCCTCTGTGCCTCAGTTTCCCCCGAGCCTTGAGGACATCCCGGGGACAGCGCGGCCGGAATTCCCAATCTCTGAAATTTCCCGGGAATTCCCGATCTCCGCGGTTTTCTGGAATTGCCTGAAATTCCCCGGGATTGCCTCGGATTCCGCTGTGCCACCGTTGCCGGGGTTGTCCCCGGGGATGTCCCCAAGGTGTCCCCAGCTGGGGACACGCCCGGAGGACACCGCGGTGGCACCGGGGGGTGGGGACAGCGCCTGGCACGGCTTTGGGGACACGCCCGGGCCAGGCTTGCCACGGCTCCGGCCTTGGCAGGACACGGCCAGGGCGGGGCTTTGGCACCGCTGGGGACACGCGGGTGTGACGTTGGCACGGCTTGGGCACACCCGGGTGTGACACTGGCACAGCCCGGCACGGCTCGGGTCACCTTGGGCACGGCTCGGCAAAGCTTTGCCCCAGTTTCCCCCCAGTTTTATCGCAGTTTCCCCCATTTTTTGCCAACTTTTATCCCGATTTTCCCTCAATTCTATCCCAACTCTCCCAGCAGCTTTTCCCCTCTGTTTTCCCAATTCTCCCCATTTTTTCCCAATTATCCCAACCTCCCCATTGTGGGCGTGGCCTCCGCGTTGTGGGCGTGCCCACATTGCCTCATTACCAAATTTAGCCATGCCCAAACATGGGCAGGACCCGGGGGTGGGGGGGGTGGCCAAACACCGCGAACAACAGCCAAACCCCGGGGGGCGTGGCCGCCGTGGGCGTGGCCACCTGGCTCAGGTGAGGCGGAAGTGGCGGCGGGGCCATGAACGGACTCCCGGGCTGGGCCGCGCTCCCGGAATCCCCGGTAAGGACCCCCCGGGACCCTTCCCCGCATTCCGAAATCCTGCCCCGAACCCCCCCCCCCAAATTCCTGCGGCATTCCCAGAAAGTTCCTGGATCTTCCGCAAAAATCCCCGGGAAAATTCCTTTCCTTTGGCTCTTCCCGGAACTCCCGGGATTTTTTTCCTCCGTTTTGGGATCCCTTTGGCGTTCCCAGGATCCCGCTCCAAATTCCCAGACTCTTCCCAAAATTCCTGGATCTCTTCCCTAAAAACTTCGGGACCCTTTCCCGAAGTTCCTGGATCCCCTTCCCAAAATTGCCGGGCCTCTCTTTTCCCCACTCCCGGAACTCTCGGGCTCTTCCCGCCCTCCTGGGAGGAGTTTGGGGGTTCCCAAATCCCTTTGGTATTCCTGGGACCTCATTCCCAAAATTCCTAAATCCTTCCCAAAATTCTCGAATCCCTTCTCTAAAATCCCCAGGACACCTCCCCAAAATTCCTGGGTCCCTCGTTGTCCTCATTCCCGGAATTCTCGGAATTCCTGGGATTTTTTTCCCCCTACTGGAACGACTTTTGGGGGATCCCAAACCCCCTTGGAATTTCCGGGACCCCTCCCAAAATTCCCAAGTCCTTCCCATAATTCCCTCGGGATCCTTTCCCTAAAATCCCCGGGACCCGTCCCCAAAATTCCCCGGTTCCTCCTTTTTGTCATTCCCGGAATTTCCGGGATGATTTTTTGGGCGATCCCAAATCCCTTTTTCCCGCGTTCCAACCTCAAAACCATCCATTTTCGGGATTTTCCCGGCTCCGTTTTCCAATGGAATTCCCGGGAATCTCTCCCCAAAATCCTCTCCCGAAACCACGATTGTTTTGGGAATTCCGAACCCAGGGGGCGGGGGCATCCTGGAATTTTCCAGCTGGGATTTGAGGCGTTTTCCCATTTTTTTTTCCCGGGTTTTTTTCCCGCTTTTCCCAGCCGGGCCTTGGGGCGGGGCTGGTGCATTCCCAAAAATCCAACCCCGCCCCAAATCCCAGGGAATTTGGGAATTTTGTGTCTCAAATCCCAACGATCCCAGTTTTTTTTATGGATTTGGGGAACTCTGGGATTTTCCCCGGGATACCAGGCTGCTTTTCCCAGTTTTCCAGAGGGAAATTCCTCATTCCCAGCCTTTTAAGGAGCAGTTTGGGATCGCTGGGAATTCCCAAATTCCCGGGGTTTTTTTGGGATTCCCCATTCCAGGATTTTTGGAGTTCCCTCCCCATCCTTCGAGGCTTTTCCCAAAAAATCCTTTGGAATGATGGAAAAAACATTGGAAAAATGGGAAAACTTACCTTGGGAATTCTGGGATGGGGTTGGGATTTTGGGATTCCCCATCCCAGGAGTTTTGTGATTCCCAAAATTCCCATTCCCAGTGAATTCCCCCAAAAAGTCCCCCTGGGGTTGGGCTGGAAAACTCCCTAGGAATGAAAATTTGGGCATTTTGGGAATTTTCCAGTTCAGGGCAGGCTTTTCCCAGCAGGAGCTGAGCATGAGGCGCCCCACGGAATTCCCAGAATTTCCCAGCCTTGAAAACTCCCCCGGATCCCTGGAAGATTCTGGAGGGGGCCCCAAATCTGCCTGGAACCCGGAGGTGAGTCCTGGAATTTTTGGAAAATTCCCCCCCCCCCAAAAAAAATCCGGATCTAGTGTCTCTTTTCCTTCCCTTTCTCATTCCCGATCCCAGCAGAGAAATCCAGGAAGGGTGGGATTTTTCCCAGATTTTTCCCAGATTTGTCCCAGTTTTATCCTGGATTTCTTCCCAGTTTATCCCAGATTCTTTCTGGATTCATCCCAAATTTTTACCGGATTTTTACTGGATTTCTTCCCAATTTATCCTGAGCTATTCATTTGCCCAAAATGCTGATTTTTAGCCCCGATTTTAAACTGGGTTTAACCCTTAGGAGGCCGGGCCGGTGCTGAGGCTGCGCCTGCCCCGAGACCCCCCCGGGGAGCCCCGGCCCAAACAGAAGGTGCGGAAAAAGCGGGAATGGGGGGGGGAATTTGGGAATTTCAGGGGGAAATTCTGGGAAATTCAGGGAAAAATGAGAATTTGGGGGGGAAATTTGAGAGTTTAGGGGAAAATTTGGGTGTTTGCGGGGGGGAAAGGCGAATTTTGGGGAGGAACAATGTGGGTTTTGGCATCATTCTGGGAAGTTTTTGGGGATTAATGGTGAAAATTCGGATTGGGGGGGAATGGGAAATCTGGGATTTTTATGGGAATTTTGGGGGGAAATTCCAGGAATTTTGGGGAAAACTGTGGGTTTTGGGAGGAAATAGGGATTTTTGGAGGTATGGGAATTTTTTTTGGGAAAAAAGGGGAATTTTGGGGGGAATTCTGGGAGGAAATTCAGGACTTTGGGGGGAGAAAGTGAAATTTGGGGTTTTTCTGGGAATTTGGGGGGAAAATCTGAAAATTTTGGGGAAAACTTGGGGTCTTGGGGGGAAATTTGGGATTTTGTGGGGTAAAACCAGGCATTTGAGAGAGGAAAATGGGAATTTTGGGATAATTCTGGGATTTTGGAGATGAAAATTCAGGATTTTGGGGGAAGTCTTGGCTTTTGTGGTAAAATCCAGGATTTTTGGGATCATTTTGGGAGAGAGAATCGGATCGTGGTTTTCCCAGCTTTATTCGCAGCAGGAAACAGCTGAAAATCCTGGGTTTTTCCATTAAAATCCTGTATTTTTCCCTCCAAATGTGGGATTTTCGGGACAATTCCCACCCGGCCACCACCCTGAGGGTGGCTGATCCCAATTCTGGGCATTTCCTGGGAATTTTTTCCTGAAATCGCCGTGTTTTCCCCCACAGCCGGTGGGCAGAGCCTTTGCCATGGTGGCCAAGAGATCCGACGGGAATTCCTTGGCCTCGGAGTGCGTCAAATCCAAGGACGGCGACGAGGAGATCATCAAGGTGCCCCAAATCCTGGGATTTCCGTGTGGAATTTTAGGGATAAAGCGTGGATTTTTTTGGGATTTAGTGTGTATTTGAGGGACTCCAGGTGGAATTTTGGGAATTCCTTGTGGATTTCAGGGAATTCCACTCCTTGGGAACAGCACAGATGGGGAAACCCCTCCCAAAACAAACCCTGGAAAATTAAAATTTAGCAGGAAAATTCAGAGACAAAAAATTCCGGGAAATTTTGGGAAGCCTTGCCCCAACCCCTCTGGATCCGTTGGAATTCCCGGAGGGATTTGGGACGTTCCCAATCCCATTTCATTCCCGTTTCCATTCCAGGTTTACCTCAAGGCTCGCGCCGACCACGAGGAGCCGGTGACACAACTCAAGAGCGAAGTCCGGCACATCCAGGAGGTGAGATTCCCAGAATTCCACGAAATTCCCTGAAAATCCTGCAAAATTCCCACAAATTCCTGTAAGATTCCCTGATTTTCTCACAAAAGTCCCTGAGTTTACATGAAGTTCCCAAAAAATCCTCCCAAAATTCTCCAAATCTCGGCCCAAATTCCCCCCACAACTCCCAAAAAATTCCCCTCAAAATTTCCCCAAATTTACCCTGAAAGTTCCACAGATTCCACCCAAATTCACTCAAAATTCCGCAAAAATGTCTCCGAATTCCCCTGAAATTCCCACAAAATTACCCCAAATTTTCCCTGAATTATCCCAAAATTCCCCATAAGTTCCCCAGATTTCCAATTTTTATTTTCATTTATTTTCTTTTCATTGGATTTTTCCCCACTTTTACTTGGACTGTTTAACCTTTTTTCCCCCTCCCAATTCCCTGAAAATTCCCACATCCCAAGAAAACCCCAACTTTTCCCTTTTTTTCCCCAGGCTGGGAGTGCCCTCAAAAAACTCCGTGAAGATTTGAGCACCAAACTCCAGACCCGGACGGAATTTCTGGAATTCCGGGAATTCCAGGAGAGCTCTGAGGTAAAAAATTAGGGAATTACAAAAGAAAAAAAAAAGTGGAATTTTCCCCTGGAGAAACCATTCCAGAGGGATTTTGGGTGGAAAAAAGGGGATAATCCAAATTTTTCCGGTGGGAAAAGGGGAAATTCCCATTTTTTTCAGGGAAAAAGGGAGGAATTCCCATTTTTGGGGCAGTGAAAGGGAAAATTTCCAATTTTTTAGTAGGGAAAACAGGAAAATACCGGTTTTGGGTGAAAAATGTGAAATTTGGGATTTTCTGGAGGGATTTCACAGCTCCCAGCGATGATCCTGGAATTTTGGAGTTGCTATTTTGCCAAAATTCCCAAATTTTGCTCCAAATTGGGAAGTAGGAGCAGGTCCTGGAAATAAAAAAAAGGGGGAAAAATGGGGATAAATCCATAGAAATTTAGGAATAAATTGATTTAAATTGGGAATACATCAATTGAAATTTGGGAAAAGGGAATTGGGGAATTAGAAAAATTTGGGATAAATCCCGATTTTCCCCCTTTTTTCCCTGGATTCCAGATGGTGCTGGAGAAGTGGAACCAGAGCTGCTCCTGCCGGGGAAATTCCCAGGATAATCCGGTAGGGAACAGAAAAAAATTCTGGAATTTTCCAGGACAGGATTTGGGTCGGGGTGAAAACATTTAAGAAACCCGTTTTCCACCCAAAAATGGGGAATAGTTGGGGTTAATTTGGGAATATTTGGTGTTTCCCACCAAACTTTGAGTCCTGAAATTCCAAGTTTTAATTGGGATTTGGGAAGTTTGGTTTTTAGCCAAAAATCTCAGATTTTGTGAATTTTTGAGCTCTTGGAAAATTAAAAATTTGGGATTCTTGACCTCTGGGAAAACTCAAAAATGTGGGAATTTTTGACATCTTGGAAACACCAAATTTGGGGAATTTTTGAGCACTTGGAAAACACAAAATTTGGGAGTTTTGGGATGTATGGGGGACACTGGGGCCTTTTGGGGCCGTTCCCGCAGGAGGACCCCGAGGCCCCACGGCTCCTGTGGAGGCTCCAGGAGGCGGAAAAGCGGCACCAGCTGGAGCGGAGCGGCCTCGAGGTGAGCCTGGAATTCCCAAAAACCCGGAATATCACCCAAATTCAGCAATCTTGGAGGAGAATTTTTCCCAAATTCTGGAATTTTAGGGGCAATTTTGTCCAGATTCTGGAATTTTAGAGGAGATGCTGGGGTTTTTGAGGAACTATTCCCCTTGGGGTTTTTGAGGGATCTCCAGGAAAATCCTCCTGCCAAGGAAAGTCCTGGAATGTGTCCTGGGATCCCGGGAGAGCCAGAATTCCTGGAATTCCTGGATTTCCCATTGCAGAGGGCGCTGCTGCGGTGCCAGGAGGACGTGGAGCGGGCAGATTCCGCCCGCAGCCGAGCGGAGACAGAGGTGGAGCAGCTCCAGAGGCTCCTAGCAGGCATGGAAAAGGTGATTTGGGATCAGGATCGGGGGGTTTGGGATCAGGAACCAGCGCTTGGATGAGTGGATTTGGGATTGGCATGAGTCGGAGGCCATTCCCGATATCCCACCCCATTCCTGATATCCTGACCCATTCCTGGTTTCCCGTTTGTATCCCATTATCCCATATCCCGTTCCCCAATCCGCAGGATCACCGGGATCTCCTGGCGCGGATGGAGTCGGGACAGGCAGAGCTGGAGCGGCTCCGGAAGGCGGAAGGGGAGAGAGCGGCGCAGCAGGAGCGGTGGGAATTCAAGAATGGGAATTCCGGGAGTGTGGGAAGCTGGGAATGGGAATTGTGGGAATGGGGGAATCCTGGGAATGAGAAAATCCGAGGAATGTCCAATTCCTGATGTCCCGACTTGTTCCTGATATTCGAGGGTCTTTTGGGCTGGGCATTCCCACATTTTTTGGGACAGGCATTCCCAGGGTTTTTTTGGGGTGAGCATTCCTGGCTTTTTTGTGGTGGACATTCCCTTTTTTTTTTTAGTGGGAATTCCAGAGCTTTATGGCTGTGAACATTCCCAGTTTATTTTAGGTGAACATTCCCTTTTTTTTTTTTTGGGATGAACATTCCCAGGTTTTTCTGCTGTGAGCAGTCTCAGTTTTTTAGCTGAACACCCCCAATTTTTTTTTGGATGTGACCATTCCCAGGCTGTTTTTGGAGGAGGAATTCTGGGTTTCTTTTGATGTGGACATTCCTAGTTTTTTTGGAGAGTGTTCCTGGAGATTTTTCCCGGTATTTTCTCAGCTCATCCCAGCTGGAGAAGGAGGTGGCGGGGCTCCGGGAGAAAATCCATCATCTGGACGACATGCTCAAGAGCCAGCAGCGCAAAGTCCGCCAGATGATCGAGCAGGTGATGGGAAAACTGGGAAAAACCTTGGAAAATCCAAGGAAAAAATGGGGAAAACTCTGGGGAAAAAATGGGGAAAAATTCACAGAGAAAATGGGGAAAAGGGAGGAAAAACCAGGGGAAAACCCAGGAAAATTCTAGGAAAACCTAGGAAAAAACCTGGGAAAGAACCTGGGAAAAATCTCAGGAAAAATCCAGAAAAAAAGGGGTGAAAAACCTGTGAAAAAACCCAGGAAAAACATGAAAAAATCTGGGAAAAACTGGGGGAAAATCTGTGAAAAACTGGGAAAAAACTCAGGAGAAACCAGGGAAAAATCCAGGCAAAATCCATTAAAATATCTGGGGAAAATCCAGGAAAAACCAGGAAATCATCCTGGGAAAAAACAGGGAAGAAAAAGAAAAAAGCAGGAAAAATCCAGGAAAAAAACCTGGAAATTGCCAATCCCTTGGAAATGTCCGGCTTGCAGCTGCAGAATTCCAAGAGCGTGATCCAGGCCAAGGACACGGCGATCCAGGAGCTGAAGGAAAGAGTTTCCTACCTGGAAGCAGAGGTGGGGCCCGGAATTCTGGGGGCTGGATCCGAGCTTGGATCTTTTTGGAATGTCGGGATCGGGGTTGGGAATGTCGGGATTGGGGTTGGGCTCCTTGTGGGGGTGGCTGGGGAACTGGGAATGGGGGAAAAGCAGGAAAAAGGTGAGAAAAGCAGGAAAAAGGGAGGAAAAGGTGGGGAAAAGGATGGGAGGGAATCAAGATCTAGAAAGTCCCACAAGACCAAAAAAAAAACCTGGAAAAAACCCCAAATTCCCAACCTGAGTCTGACCATTTCTGCCAGGATTTGGGAAATTCCTGGGAAATTCCCAATCCAACAGTGATATTGAGGATTTTGAGATGGAAAATTCCCCCAATCCTCATTTTTCCTGGGACAAACCTTCCCAAATAACTCAGGAGCTCCCCAGTCACATTCCTACGCTCCAAATTACCCCAAATCCCAGAAATTCCCATTCCGGGCACAGACGGACCATTCCAAGGCAGCTCTCCAGGGTTGGAAAATCCTTTCCGGATCCCAATTTTTTTCTTTTTTTTTTTTCCCAGAATCTGGAGATGCATGACCGGATTGAGCACCTGATCGAGAAACAAGTGAGCCGGGGCGGGAGCAGTGCCCGCGCGCGCTCCAAGTCGGAATACGTCAGCAGGTGCAGCGGGAATTCAGGGATCAGGGTCAGGAATTCTGGGATCTGGGTTGGGAATGGTGGGATTCAGGTTGGGAACTCCAGGATCTCTTCTGGATTTGGGGATTCTCCTTGCATTAGGCAATGAACTTTTGGATTTGGGGCTGCAGTTTTGGAAGTGCTGTCTGGATTTTGGGGATTTTCTTCTGGATTTGGGGATTTTCTTCTGGATTTTGGGGATTCTCTTTGGGATTTAGGGACCAACTTTTGGAATTTTGTGATGCTCTTCCAGATTTGGGTATAATTGAAATCTCCCATAATTTTTTCCATGTCTGCAGCAGATCCCAAATGCCTCCCACAGGAATTTTTAGGAATCCCAATCTCCCCGAAACCCTTTTCCCTGTTTTTTCCTACTGAAAATTCCTTTATTTTTTTTCCCCTTTTCCCAGCAAACGCCTCCCAGGCCCGAAGCCGCTGCCCCTGATCCGAGTGGTGGAAACCTGAATTTTGGGGTCTGGGCCCAGCCGGATCCTTCCCCTTCGGAATGACCGGAATTTCCAGCTGGACTCAGAGCCCTTCCCGAGGGAAGAGGTTTGGGATCGCGCCAGGCACGATTCCAGGTTGGAATCGGGAATTTTCCCCCTTTCCCCAGCGATTTTCCGGCTCTTGCCATTCCCGTGTGGATTCCAGAGGTTTTTCCCAACCGGATTCCGGATTTCACCTTTTTTTGGGGAATTTCCAAATCAAAATCTTGGATTCTGCTTTTTTCCTGAAGGAAGATTCCAAAAAGCTTGGAGCCACCACATTGTCAACCTCCAACACCACCCTTGGACTTGGAAAATGCTCTCCCAACCCTAAAAATTCCATGTCTTTCCTGCTGAATCCTGTGTTTTTCCCACGTAATTCCCTGCTTTTCCCGCAAAATTCCATGCTTTCCCCCCAAATGATTATTGTTGAAATTCCCGCAATTTTGGGATTTTATTCCCTGTATTTATTTCTGTAAATTATCGGAGTCTCCGGGTGAGGTGGGGGATGGGCACAGGCCGGAATTCTTGAGAATTTTGGCCCAGGACTGCCCCAATCCCATGTTTGACCCCAGAGGCTCTAACCAGGATCCCTCAGGATTCCCTTGGAATTTTTAAATTCCTGGTTTTCGTATTAAAGATAAAAAATTCTGTCTGCTTTAAATCCCAGAAGTTGTGGTTGCTTGGAAAAGACTGGGCACTTTGGGGGGAAGGTGGGGGCTTTTTTCTGGGTTTTTTGGCTTTTTTGGTTTTCCCGGGTCCTGATTCCATGGGAATGGTGAAACTTTGGGATTGGGATTTTCCCAGTTTTCACCCAGTTTTCAAAACCAGGGTGGGGCTCAGGTAGGGAATTTGGGGATTTTTCCAGGGTTTTTCTTTTTGGTTTTTGGGGTTTTTGCGGGTCCTGATTCCATAGGAATGGGGTAACTTTGGGATTGGGATTAGGGTTTTCTGGGTTCCCAAAACCTGGGGCACTCAGGGTGGGATTTGAGGGGTCTCGGATTCACCTCCAGATCCCAAGAATTCCTCTTCAAAAGGTCTGGAGCCCCAGGATCCATGGATTTACGGGGAGTGGGGCCTGGGGACACCCAAGACCCTCAGGAATGACCAAGAGGGGACCCCCAGGACAACTGGGAATGGTCAAAGGATTACTGGAAATGACCACGAGAGGAAAAGATGAAAAAAGGAGAGAGAAATGAAAATAAAAAGAAAAATACAGAAGAAAAAAAAAGAGAGGGGAAAAATGAAAGAGAGAGAGAAAGAGAAAAAGAGAAAAATAAAGGGAAAAAGACAGGAAAAATGAGAGAGATGAAAAATGAGGAAGTTACAGAAAAGAAAAAAAAAAGGAAAAAGAGGGAATTTTGGGGGTGATTTTAGGGAGGAATTGGGTGATTTTGGGAATTTCTTTGGGGATTTTTGGGTCCCCCTGGGCCCCCCAGGGATTCCAGGACCTTTAAGGGGATTTAGGGTGATTTTAGGGGTGATCTGGGATGATTTTGGGCAGATTTTCAGGTGATTTTTGGGTCATTTTTTAAACCACTTTTAACCCATTTTTATCCCTATTTTAACTCCTTTTACTCCCTATTTTTATCCCTACATATTTCCCCAATTTCCCCTTTTAATCCCTATTTTTACTCTTTTGAAACCATATTTTAACCCATTTCATCCCAAATTTTAACCCTTTAACCCCATTTTTATCCAAATCCCCAGCCGGGGTTTTTTCCCCCCCCGACTGTTTTTTTTTTTCCTCGGACCTGGTTGGTCTGCGAGGCGACGTTCATCACCAAAGTTTGGGCGCGGACCGGCCAGGGACCGGGGTTTTCGTCAGGCAGGAGGATTTTTTGGAGGCTCCCGGGAACCACGTTCCCGAGGAGCAATGATTGCTGGGGTGTAATTTAGCATTGTGATGAGAGTGATGGTGAGTTTGTGTCTAATGTGAAGGGGTTGTTAATGGTAGATGAGTGTTATTTTCTGTGTGCTTTTGTTGTTTTGGGTTTCCTGTAACAATAAACCAACACGTAATGAAAATAGAAAAAGGTTATTATCTTGTGTTAATATGTGTGTTGTGTTGTATTGCTCTGTATTGCAGGCTGAGCACAGGGTGAGCAATCCAGAGCAATACAGAGCAATACAACACCACACACACATTAAAGGTGAACTCTCTCCCCCTTGCTGTGACACCTGGGCTGGCAGGGATGACACAGTGACCTCGGCCGGCCGATGCTGCCTGTGCCATCACCTGGCACTGACGTGTTTGATGAAAATCCTTTTGCTGGGATTTTTCTCCTGAGAAGCCTCAGAACAGAAATGGAACCAATAACAATCTGCTGGCTGTGGAGTGTGGGCTGGACATGGTTTAGCAACAGGGGCATCATGGACTGGTCTCCTGTACATTGTTTCTACCTGATGACCAATCATGGTCCAGCAGTGTCGGGGCTGTGAGCAGTCCCAGGTTTTTATTATTAATTCCTTTCCAGCTTTCTGATGTCTCCTTGCTGTTTTAGTGTAGTTCTAATTTCTCATTTTCTTTTAATATAATAGAGATAATAAAATAATATTTCAGCCTTCTGAAAGGTGGAGTCAAGATTCTCGTCTCCTCCCTCGTCCTGGGGACCCTCAAACACCACCACAATCAGCGGCCGAGCGGGTTTGTGCGAGCCTCTCAGGAACCCTCGGCCGGTCCCGAGTCGGCAGCCCTGACACGGCCGAGAGCGGGGAGACACCCGAGGGTACTGAGGGCACCTGGGCTGGGGGGAGACACTCTCTGTGCCCCGAGGGTACTGAGGGCACCTGGGCTGGGGGCAGACACTCTCTGTGTGTGCCCCAAGGGTACTGAGGGCACCTGGGCTGGCAGGGAGACACTCTCTGTGCCCTGAGGGTGCTGAGGGCACCTGGGCTGGGGGGAGACACTCTCTGTGCCCCGAGGGTACTGAGGGCACCTGGGCTGGGGGCAGACACTCTCTGTGTGTGCCCCAAGGGTACTGAGGGCACCTGGGCTGGCAGGGAGACACTCTCTGTGCCCCGAGGGTGCTGAGGGCACCTGGGCTGGGGGCAGACACTCTCTGTGTGTGCCCCGAGGGTACTGAGGGCACCTGGGCTGGGGGCAGACACTCTCTGTGTGTGCCCTGAGGGTACTGAGGGCACCTGGGCTGGGGGGAGACACTCTCTGTGCCCTGAGGGTGCTGAGGGCACCTGGGCTGGTCGCCTTTGCAGCAGAAGAGACACCAGACACAGCGGTAGAAGATAAAGCGCTGACTCTTAGCAGGGGTTCTTCCAAGGTTTTATTAGGAGCCCCAAAGGAGCTCCTGCACCTCCGGGGCCTCCTGCCAAGAGCCCTGGGAGATGTGCCAAGGTTACATTTAAAGGGAGGTGGAAACCAAAAGTAGATAACATCCTACCAACCATTAAGTGATCCTAAGGGATGGATGCTGGGGGATAGACATACAGGACAGCGTATGGGGCAAGGCTTGTGGGGGCTGACTCCCAGCCTCTGGCTGATCACTCGATGACTTGGACCGAAACTTCTGGATGGAGGGGATGGGAGGCTGAGTGATTGACAGAGAGCCAGGGTGGAGGTTTGGGGATGATCTCATCCCAGGAGAGGGATAACACAGGTAAAGGGAGGGGGGTACAGTTTGGGATAAACCATTTGGGAAAAATATGGGGATACAAAACAAAATTACTTCAAAGTATTACAAAGTATAAAAATGCACTACAGCAGGTTTGGGCAGCACCAAATAAAATAAAATAAAATGCTTTAAAAATAGAAAAATTAAAAATAAAAATTAAATAAAATTAAAATAACAAAATTAATTCAAAATAAATCAAAAACAAAACAAAACCTGTAAAGTGCCGTAAAAGTTCCATAAAAGGTAGTGCCGTAATGCAAGACCCTGAAACACCACCACAATCACCAGCCTGAGTTGGTCTGGTCAGCACCAAAAAAAAAAAAAAAAAAAGCTTTAAAAATAGGAAAATGAAAAAAAAAATTAAATAAAAAAGAAAATTAAAAAAATAAAATAAAAAGCTTTAAAAATAGAAAAAAGGAAAAAAAAATTTAAAAAAATTAAAAAGCTTTAAAAATAGAAAAAAGGAAAAAAAAATTAAAAAAAATAAAAAGCTTTAAAAATAGAAAAATGAAAAATAAAAATTAATTAAAAAAAAAAGTTTTAAAAATAGAAAAATGAAAAAAAAATACAGCTCTAAAAATAGAAAAATGAAAAATAAAAATTAAATAAAAACTAAAATAAAAATCCCTTTAAAAATAGAAAAAAGGAAAAAAAATTAAATAAAAATTAAAAAAAATCTTTAAAAATAGAAAAATGAAAAATAAAAATTAAATAAAAAAAATTAAAAAATAAAATAAAAAGCTTTAAAAATAGAAAAATGAAAAATATAAATTAATAACAAATTAAAAAAAATTAAAAGCTTTAAAAATTGAAAAATGAAAAATAAAAATTAAATAAAAAAAGCTTTAAAAAAAGAAAAATGAAAAATAAAAATTAAATAAAAAATAAAATAAAAAGCTTTAAAAATAGAAAAATGAAAAATATAAATTAATAACAAATAAAAAAAAACTTCAAAGCTTTAAAAATTGAAAAATGAAAAATAAAAATTAATAAACAAATTAAAAAAACCTTTAAAAATAGAAAAATGAAAAATATAAATTAAATAACAAATAAAATAAAAAAACTTAAAAGCTTTAAAAATTGAAAAATGAAAAATATAAATTAATTTAAAAAAATTGAAAAACCTTTAAAAATAGAAAAATGAAAAAAAATTAAATAAAAAAAGCTTTAAAAATAGAAAAATGAAAAAAAATTAAAAATAAAATTAAAAAAATAAAATAAAAAGCTTTAAAAAAAATGAAAAATGAAAAAAAGAAAAAAAAAGATTTAAAAATAGAAAAATGAAAAATCAAAAATCAAATAAAAAAAAATAAAAAGTTTTAAAAATAGAAAAATGAAAAATAAAAATTAAATAAAAAATAAAAAAAAGGTTTAAAAATAGAAAAAGGAAAAAAAATTTAAATTAAAAAAAATTAAAAAATTTAAAAAGCTTTAAAAATAGAATAATGAAAATAAAAATTAAAAAAAATTTTAAAAATAAAAAGCTTTAAAAATTGAAAAATGAAAAATAAAAATTAAATAAAAAAAGCTTTAAAAATAGAAAGAAGAAAAATAAAAAGAAACAAAAAAAATAAAAGAAAAAGCTTTAAAAATAGAAAAATGAAAAATAAAAATTAAATGAAAAATAAAATAAACAGCTTTAAAAACAGAAAAATGAAAAATATAAATTAATAACAAATTTTTAAAAATTTAAAAGCTTTAAAAATAGAAAAATGAAAAATAAAAATTAAGTAAAAATAAAATTAAAAAATAAAACATAGCTTTAAAACTAGGAAAATGA